TGGCAGACACCCCAGAGAGTAACAGATTAACCCCGGGAAGAAAAGACATGAAAGTTAAACTTAAACGCTGGATGGAATAATTAACAAAGAATACCTGATGCTGCACGTCTGATTAAAGTACACTCAAAGGATACTGGCAATACATGCATGTAAACTAATACAATACCATCATCTTAAGTGCATAGGCCTATCTCAATATTGTACCTGCAGATTCAGAAGGCCTTTATTCTAACCGACGGGAACATTCGACGGCGGTATGCTTTTATCGAACACGTTCGATTGGGGTCATCTAATCTGATGAAGAGAACGCATAATCTAAAATGTTTACACTTTTCCTGCACTTTGACAAATTACCAGTCCAGTGGAGGACATGGATATAGCTTATACTAATCACACCAGAGGTCACACGTACAGTCTTCTCACATTGACGAGCGTGTGCAAGAAAGAAGTTGTTAATTTTTAACCAAAAAAAAAACAATCGTATTCCCATATGGTCTAGTGGTTAGGATCCGGCGCTCTCACCGCCGTGGCTCAGGTTCGATTCCCGGTGTGGGAACGTGCTCGTTTTTTTAATAACCGATATATTTCTGAACGGTCATGCCTCCGCACACATACGACATCGAGACAATTTAGCCTCCCCCTACGGTACCTTTTTAAAAAGAAAATTGCACACAAAATACAGCTTTGGAACGGACAATGTAGTAGTCTTTGTTCCTAGACCTTCCAGCGTAGTTATTACCGGTACCCCACACGTACACTGTCAGAGGGCGCAACATGTTGATGTATGCATGTACAAATGTACAGTGTACCTGTACTGTACGTGTGATGGTTCGCGGTGCCATGGAACAACTGGAAGGTTTTGGAACCAAGACTACCAATGTAGGTTCAACCCCCCCCCGATACTTTTCTATTGCATTTGCTTTTTTGGGCCAAAGTTGCAACGTGCATTCCCATGTGGTCTAGTGAGTAGGACCTGTTCCAGTAAAGGTGGGTTGTAGCTGATGACAGAAGGTATCGGAGTTCAATTGCAGCAAACTTCCAAAAGCGATAACAAAATTACACCCAATGAAATTGATATTAATGCAATTGCTGGAAGTGACACTTCTCTTGGGTATTATCAAACCTTATCAACTAGAGGAAACTTCATAATTCACGCGAAAGCGATATAGGAACGCCAATTTTTTTGTTTTTTTTAGCTCACGTTAAATATTTGCATTGCGAATTCATAAAAGTTGAACGCAAATCAACTCGGGCGAAATTTCGCTGCAAATATTTTGTGACGTCCAATTCGATTTGCTTTCGCATTCATTGTGAATTGGTATTAAAGAAATGAAATATGTTTGTCTTGAGCCGTTTGGGCGTATGCAAACTGAAATTTCGTGTGCCAGCTTCACTGTGTTCAGAATACCAAAACAAATACGATGAAACAACATGAAACCATAATTTCAGTGTGAGAGAGAAAACACAACTCGCTAAAACTTACAAAATAATCAATTTTTCTTATAGAAAAAGTAAATATACATGGTTGACAAAGACCCCCAACAATGATGACGGTCATCGGGGCTCGATATTCATGTAAAACAACAAACGTTTCTACTTTTTAATAACAACCTAATTCGATCTCTCACTCAATCTTGCGAGTTGTTATTAGTAAGAAAAAAATTGAAAACATCGAGTGTCACAATGGAGCAGGGGTCCAGCGCTTACACAGTCGCAGCAAGGGTTCGATTATCAGTTTCAGAACATTATTTTGTTCATATTCTATATTTTTGGAATATTGGAAAACCTTCATTCCATGATTCAACAAAAGTCACATTAAATGAGCAAAAAATGGTCGATATGGGGCTTGAACCCACGACCTTCGCGTTATCAGCACGACGCTCTACCAACTGAGCTAACCGACCGTCATGGAGACTTTAATAATCTTATTTTTAAACACAAGACCGTTTCGCTAATAAGGCTGATAGTTCCAATCTTGAGATATTTTGTGTGACTTTGAAAAATGAATGTCGGCGTTCATGCTGGCTGAAAATAAGTCACCCTGAAACAAGCGTACAAGCATAAAGAAAATTTGCAAACTTGCTATTACAGTGAAAGACGCTGCTTCACCTTCTGGAGGAAAAGCCTTGGCAGAACTAGGTTAGCACATCATGAAAATGCCTCCTTCCCTTTGCAAAATACCTTTCGTTAAGTTACTCTCTGACAATGCTACATCTACATGTATTATAGTTAGTACCCTGATTTTCACTGCCATGACCTCGTGCATTTGATTTGGAACCATAGCGTTTAGGTGAATAATTATCCGGATTACTACTATGATTCCTGAATAAGTATAATAATTACTAACATAGAAGCCAGTCATACTCATATGGTCTAGTGGTTAGGATCCGGTTCTCTCACCCCCGTGACCCGGGTTCGATTTTCGGTGAGGGAAGGTGGGTTTTGTTTTGTTTTCATTTCAGGGTTCCTTTCGTAATTATTCTTTTCCGAATAAGTTCTATAATTCGTAATCAGAGGGAGCGTGACGAACTCCCACATGGTCTAGTGGTTAGGATCCGGCGCTCTCACCGCCGTGGCCCGGGTTCGATTCCCGGTGTGGGAAACTTGTAGTTCATTTCCCTAATGATTTTATACTCCAAGGCCAAATTATCCCATCAATGAAATCTTATGATGCACAGTGGACCCAAGAAAGGAGTAATTCAGCTTTTTTCTGAACTTTTTGAAAACTCAAAGATGAAAAAGCAAACCTAAAGACCAAGTTCAGACTTACATGTAAGTCCTCGAAGTACCTCCGGATGGACTACCGACTACGCCAACTGTGCTTCACCCTTGACAGCAAAATGATTTAAGAGTCCGTTGAGGGAACTCTTTGAGGTATATCTTACCTTTGTTTTGTTCCTGAAAAGCGCTTTTTTCTGCAGCATACCAATTCCATATCAGTATACTTTCCAAGTCAAAAACGTGGAAGAATTACATTTAGAGATCACAGGTGATTAGAGTGAAACTGCAAAACTAGAAAAGACACGCTGTTAACATCTACATAATACTCTGAATTCATAAACGAATTGAAAATTTTCAATGAAAGTGAAAATAAAAAGTATTACCTTTTGTTTCCACGTTCATAAACAAATGTTTATCCCGTCACAATCAGCCATATTTTCTTAAGACTCGCATCACGAAGTTTATCAGTATTCTTGCAGAAGTCGTCAAAGGGTTGAAAACAGTCGTACTTATCCGAATCAACACCGCATGATCGACAGATATCAAACAAAAACACGGTGAAAGTTAAGAAAAAAGGTAAAACACGGTGAAAGTTAAGAAAAAAAAGGTGATCTGGTCAATGTGGGGCTCGAACCCACGACCTTCGCGTTATCAGCACGACGCTCTACCGACTGAGCTAATCGACCCCACAATCAAGCCAGCGGAACTATTTTATATTATTCTCTCGTATGCATTCACATATCACGTGGTATATGGTAGCGGCTACCTACTACCGCTTTCCCGTACGTACAGTGTACACCACAATGTACGTATATAGTCCTGTACATTGTAAATGTATTAGCCGTAGCCGTAATGTTCTCAGCCTGTGCATGTAGCGCGTGCATAGCTCCAGTGCTTTCCCAATATTCAGCTTTTCCCCGGTAATTTACGATGTAGTGTAACCATGGAGGGAAAGAAAAATACTCCATGGTGTTATAATTATGATATACCACTGCGTGTATTTTTTTAAAATGGGAAATACGATTTCCATTTAATGTCACATTTTCATAGGATTTTGACAATGCCTTTACTTTTTAAGTTAATTTTGTTGGAACAGACACAGGTTTTAACTGCGAAGAGGATAAGAGATACATCCGTAATTGGGTTACAAATACCACCAACTTTTGAAATGGAAAAAAATGTTTTAAGAGTTTAATTTAAATACAATAAGGAGTTGAACAGCACAGTTTCCTAGTAAAATAAACATTTGTAAAGTATACAGAACATGTTTTTAACTTACTCAAGTGTCATTTGTACCTTCATGGTGACAGTCATAAACTTTCGGATAGACCGTAGATTCAAAATTCTTTTTTTCTTCAACTTTATGCACAGTATCAATTTGATGCTTGAGATCCATTAACCTTAAACTTAGATTTTTAAGAATTTAGTACCATTTCAGTGAAGATAATGTAATAAAATCATAAGCAACTATGGGAACAGAACAGCAGTCTGGGAAGGCAAGGCAAATTCTCTCACAAACAGGATGAGTGAGGTGACTGTGAATAATTTAATTTACTTACAAATCTGAGTATCGATCATGGAAATAATCAAAGTCCTCAGACCAGGCAATGCACTAAATCCTTCAAAATCCATTATAAGAAACTACTTTTCATGCTGTCTTTCAGAAGAAGCAAGCTCCATATATGTAAGCGCACTAGCCTCACCCTTCTCAGCCCTACAAAATCCTTCAAGATTCCCCGTTGGATTTTGAAATATCTGGGAGCATTAGGGTACAGGTTCAGAACTTGTTTCACTTTCCTCTGAGTTAGCACAACGTTTCAGTGACTTGGGTATATACTTGTGCGGAATGCCATACTAAGCTGGTGAACCACTGCAATAAATAGCTTATAGTCATTATCTCAATAAATATTCAAATAAGTTAATTCATATCAGAAATGTATTTAAGGTTAATTAATATATATATGTGTTTAGGCAAAACACTAAACAAAACTTGATAGGAACTTACTTTGTGGTATAGTGTAATTCGAGAACCAGAATTAGAAGCTATTACTGCGGTGGCACGTGCGTAAATAGGTGGCACACGCGCGCTTGACTTGCCACATTGACCAATAGGGTGTCGCAATTTGCCAAAAGCACGCAGGTCTCAAGATCAGGAATGTGGGGTTTGCGCAACGCCACTGCAGTATGGCATCTTCTTGGATTAGTATGACTCAAAACATTCAGGCTCCTGCTAACACAAGTGACTTTTTCTAAAATTTGTATTTTTAGATATTAAAAAACTTTACACACATACATGTGTTTGTAGGCTATTAGAAAAGAAATTAACTATATTTAAAGGATTTCAAGATGTTCTTTAATTACATTTAAAGGATTAACACTGAAGTAATATCAACACACTTCTCTGATGAATTCTTTCAGGCCTTGTGATTAAGTGCTAAAACACTTGGAATAAAATCCCCCAACTCAACAAAGTCTGCAATGACAATGTTAAGTCCCCTTGGCCCAATACCCTTGTCTTTCATAAAATATTGCACATTCTTGATGGCGATGAGTGCAAAGACATCTTGCAGGGATCGGCTGATGTACTGCAAGACGGTAGTCCCTGTTGGGGTCAAGACACCTTGACTGACATAGAACTTCCCCTGAGGTCGACCACGGGTGAAATGAGCCTCCAGGAGATTTACCATCTTAGGGGCTTCAGTCACATTGGGCCAGACAGATGGCATGTATGACCCTGACCACAACTCAGGGTGATCTCCTACTGTCACCGGGTGATGATAGAACACCAATACCTGCCAGCCTTTCTCCCAGAGAACATTAAGGGCGGCTGTCTCAGTGTCAATGACAGGGCACAGTTTGGAGTCAAATACGCTTAACAGAGTTGCTACAAGCTGTTCATGGTCAGTACTGTCCATCTCATAGAGGTGGTTGAAATCCAGCAAGATGACTTCTTTGGGATGTTTATCCAGCCAGGATTTGATCTCACACATGCAGGTGCCAACCTCAGCACCATACAATCCATGGACAAAATAGAGCTCTGCCTTGCCCTTCAAGGTTGACACACGGAGGTCAAAGTAGCGTATCCCACGGTCAAGCTGCTGTATAAAGGTCAAACTCTGCGTGACTGACCATTTGTAGACAATCTTTTTGGCCATGTCACCAAACGCTGATACTAGATTGCGCACAGTGTCGGGGGAGCTTGGTGACACTGGCGTATTGAGATCAAGAGTGTAACTAAATGAATCGTGTGATCCTGCAAAAAATCAGAAAAGAAAAAGACTACTTAAGAATTCATGTATTTGAATACTACCCTTCTGATTTTATTATAGACTTGGGTTATGGCTAATCTTGTTAAAAGTACTTAGCAAAAATGAGTAAACTGACCAGTGACATCACTTGTCATGCTTAATTCATTGTCATGACACCGACAGTGAGCTGATCTGCTGATGATAACTCAACAAGTTTGCAAAACTTACCAGGAATCGCAATATTTTTCAGCGGCTCACACAGAAGTTTCTCTGGTAGTTTCGACATCCAGTCTGAATAATCTTCCTCATTTTCAATCTTCGAATTTTCAACATTTGTGGAGTCCCCCGCCGCCGCCATTTTCCTAGCTCATGTACACAGTATATGAAGGCCTACATGTACTCGACTAATTTCATGCACGACTAGCCCGGAGCTAGCTAGCTAGCTAGCCAGGGGCTAGAGGCTATGTAGTAGTAATAACAATAAATGAACAACAAAGACACGTTCAGAGCGCTGACATGATTCCGTAATTATTGTCGAACTCTTGAGGGCGCAATTTATTGTGTACGCCAGACATGTGGTCGATATAGATTCAGAACTGATCGAATCATCTTTTTGTTCAACTGTTGTTCTGCTGAAAGAGTATGAATGTGGTTTGTACGAAACTCATATCAAAACAGAATCATATATAAATGTCTTCCTTACGTCAGGGAGTGTAACAAAACCTGGAATGAACAAATTAATTGGTAAAGGAAATTTTTTTTTATCCCTGTTTAGTGTTTTTGGCATCCCATAGTACATGTACTAGAAGCCTAAGTAGCTCACTATTCAGGATTGGTTGAACTGTGAAATGTTTGATTTGTGTGCCTTGTTTATGCAGGTGATACATAATAAGTTATAAACAGTAAAATGGAGACTGCATTTATCATGAAAAGATACGTTGGGAGAACAGCGAGGAAGAACTGGAGAGAAATCTTGTGTGACATGGAGGCGGTGTCATCTGGAATTAAGCCAAGTTTCCTGTATGACTACTCCTGTATTGAACCCACAGAGTTGTCTAAGATGGTGGATGACCTAATTGTATCAGGGCTCCTTGTGAAGGAGAATTTACAGGTGTTAAGTCTAGGACAGGATTCTTTCCTCGCCAATAAACCTCTTCTGCAGGAAACGCTTGGGGAGTTTCTCGGGGCTCTTGAAGGAGGCAACCACATGCTGGTTGATGTGTCAGCAAAGCTTGAACAGCCCCAACTACTTGATGATGAGGGTGTCGAACGAATCAAGGACCATGTTAGAGATGTCATGATGCAGCTGCAAGATTTGAGCAGGACACCAGTGACTGTTCTGGAGTTGAATCCTAAACCGGGCTGGAACTTCTCAACGTTGTTTGGTGTGTTACTTGGATATCCAGTGGTGTATTGGTTTCATGACGTCCAACGTTGCTCCAATTGCCTGTCCATGGTACCGCTCAGTGTTTACCGAGTGTCTGCCAACCATGATGATCTGCAGCATTCAGCGAATCCCCCCTACCCAATAGATACCACTTCACACACTCCTCAGCTAAGCGAAGTTGTCAATGAACATCCCATTTACAGCTTCAGCGTTCCGGAAGCACTCTTGCCACACTTCCAAGATCACATTGATGATTGGTTCAAACGAGTTCAAGCAAAGGCGCACAAAGAGCTCAGGCTGACTTGTAAATCAGTGACATTACCAAGCATCACACTGTAATGTTTTACTTGTAATAGACCTCAAACACAATGACGTCAAGTTGTGTTTATATGTGCGCTTTAATAGGGGTTCACTAGATAGCATCCCACCTCCCTTCCCTAGGAAACACACCTGTTCACAAAGCATGAAGTCATTAGAGTCGCTGTGTTAAGTGTATTGGAGTAAGCCACTAAAAATCTCTGCATAGAAGTGTTACTGTACATATAGCTCTTTTAGCCTGATTCCTAGAACATCTATAATCCCTGTCAAATGTTGACTGTTCTGCCCAAACTCTTGACAAGTTTTGCATGGCTAAGAGACCAGTGCTGTAGTCAGTGTGGGTGTTAAATGTTTGAACAATAAGAAACATCTGAAATTAACTTTTCTTTTAGTTATCCGCCCCAAGTAGACGCGCATCCCGAAGTGGCAAAAGATGGTTGTGAGTTTTCGAAGTGGGTTCTTGCATGCATTCTGTTTGTACGCAAAGACCATACATTAAGGAATAAATTTGTGAAGCATACTTCGCATGCTCCACGTCAAACGCGCCATTGATTGATTATAAATGCGCACTTATGTGAGTACCCAAAACATGTCCTCTTTTGTCACGCTCCGAGCGGATAGTCATGTAAACTTTTTTTTGCAGTGGAAAAAATGTATGGTTGGTTACACCTTGCAAACCTTTGTTTGCGATTTTGTTTACATGTACATCTTTTCTCTTCGGGAAACTCCATGAAAGCTTCACAAGTCAGATTCTCCTGAAACTGTATGCATTTCATAATTAACAACCAAAAACAGGCCAAAATGTTAAACATCGAATGGCAAACATTTTTATTGCAACATGAAGGTCATACATATGCAACTGAAAAATGTTTAGTAAATTTATTTTTGTCTAAATGTCCTTTTTGTCTATTAAAGTGCAAAGGTACTATTTCACTGGAAATTTAAAAGTGAAGTTTATTTTTACTGGTCATTGATTTGGGCATCAAGCCCCATGTACAGTAAGAGAGGTAAGGTGCTGTTGTCCTCTAACATACAAAATCCTCCCAAACCTTGGTAGATTTCAATGGATCTGGGTGGCCTAACATTGTCTGTGATGAAGTACAAAGCCAAGTTCAAACCTCTGGCATTGTGTTTTATGTAAATTTATCCATGAGAGTTGCACATTCTGGATTTTTCAGAATAAAATTAATTCTTTTACAAAATGAACATTACAGACTTTTTGTGCCATGGACAATTATCATAAATGCTTTGCTGGAAAAAAATATGCAAAGAACACATCTATTACAATTAGACAAACCGAATTGAAATGATTAAACCCACAAACAGCCATCCTAAATGCTAATTTATTTTCCGTATGTAAAACCACTAACTGGAGAAAACAAAACTTGACAAACTTCATGAGATGCACTATCGGTTTAAGGAACTTTCACTTGCAGCCTGTGAATTGGACACTGGGTGTATTGGGAACAACAATTGGGTAGGAAACAGATCAAGAAAAATTCCCTATAAAGACCAGTAAGATGACTTGTTGTGCAACCTACTTGCTAGCCATAAATAATGAATAAATGTTAAAAACTCATATCAGACCTGGGCAATGCATTTATTTACGACCTAGCAGGTTTCAAAAATGTAAAACCCTCTAGTTTTTAACAATACAGTGTACATGTACACATTGCCTGAGACAATGCTATTATTCATATACAAACAAGTACATTTAGAAAGTTATATTTCAAATAACCCTTGAAAATATAAAATTAGGAAATACCTTGATCCAGGATGCATTGATGAATAATTTAAAATGCTTTTAGAACCAATGTCATGAGTTTGTATGTATTAAGCTTTGAGTACCTAACCCTAACAGTCCTCAATCCTTCACCTGTTGGAAGACTGAGGACTGTTAGGGTTAATTACTTGTATAATTGACTCTGATGTGCACATTACATGTATGTGCTTGCACAGACAACTGTACCATTTATGATGACCAAGTGCAATGAAATGTATATGATCATCAGTATCATGTGCAGTTTTATGCCTTAATGTTCAGGATGTTTTTGCTAGACAATCTCTAAGCATATACCTAAATCCACCACTGTGCTGGAATGCCATTCTTTGTCCAAGTTTCAATTGGCACACTTTGCCATCCCATGTCCTGCAATCGTTAAACTCCTGCGGATGTACAGTGAAGGACACTGCAATGATGTCACAACTGTCAAATTGTCATGTGAGCATGTACATATAAAAAAACTTATCCCTCTCAGTCAAATGTTCTGAATTTCGACAGGTACCAACAGCTGAGCACCCTCAGATGCTGGTTCAAATTAGAAATGTTTTTTCACATTCATAACATACAGTAACCAGCTTAAATTGTGACTAGTCCCTGGACAGCTTTCATGAGGTAATCTAACTCCCTTAGCTTAGTTTATCATGGATCAGTGCATTTCCTCCTTCAACCATCCAAGTTATAACTCTGTCTTCTTCTTGTAATACTTTGGTTTTAGTTCCTCGATGCGTTTGATGAAATCTGTCTTCTCTGTGCAGGCTTTGCATTCTTCACCCCAGACACTCAAGATATTCTTCAGTTCTTTAACCTTCATTTTCTTCAAATCTACAGAGTCCAAATCAATTTGTTTCTCTGGACACAGAAAAAAAAAGAACCAATCAAAATAGAATGTGCGTGCAGCATTATGTCTCTACTATGTTAGTAAAAGATTCAAAGTCTTCCTTCTGTTAAGATTTTTTTCTGCAGATCTCCCAGAGGGGAGACATAACTTCAAACCAGAACTTCAAAAGACTAACATGTACATGTATTTAAGCCCTGTGTTTAAAGCCTCAATGCCCAGCTCCTTAAGACAGCACAAGTGGAGGAAACATTAAGACAGTTACACTGTCTTCAGTTGGAGACGCTCTCTGGTAAGTACTTAGGGCCTAAATGGGGCTAGCTAAACTCAGCAGCTACACATGGGTTATATACTACCCAGTGGTAAGAGTGAAACAAAGAAATAACCATGACTTCTACGCAAGCAAACAATTCACATGCCAACTATTAGAGACCAAAAAAAAATCTGTGAAATTAGGTGGATCAAACTTTTGTTTTGAATGGACCAAAATATAAAAGGAAACTCCCTAAAACAAAAAACCAAAACACACATCTACATTGTAATTTATAGATGAACTTTCCTCGCATTAGTCAGTACAAAAATCCGGTAACTAACTGTTACTTTTTCAAGGGCACTTTAGGTAAATGGTACTCAGACCACAAACTGATCATGCAATTTTACTCCATCTCACAACCTCCTGTGAAATACTGTAACATTTTCACTTTTATTCTGAAGGTGAGTTCATGTCTATTCCAACACAGAAATGCATTTAATTCTTACCGTATTCAAGTTCACATATTTGTGAATCTAACTTGTTTAGACGTTCACATATTTTGTCTGATGGTACATAGTTGAGTAGCCTCTTGCTAATCTCTCCCAGAGACCCAGTTGCAGCGTCGGCTGTTCCACCGATGAAATAACACTGGAAAATTTCAATGAGATATTTGAGGACTTAAAGAGCAGTAATAAAAAGACAATGCTATTACTAAAAATCTTTCAATATAATTGAAGGTGTTTTAGAATGTTGGGGGGGAGAAATGGAAGATCAAAGGTAAAAAAAAAATGACTTGCTTCCCTAAATTGAGACAATGACACTTCAAAACACTAATCCCACTTCAAAACACTAATTCCATATTCTAGAGAGTAACTGTGGAAAGGGTGACCACTGACCAGTTGGTAAAGGTCAACAGTTCAGTGAAGGGGTCGGAGGTTAAACTTATTTCTTCCTCACCTCCGCCTCCCAAAAAAGTGAGACTATGGAAAGTGGTAACTTGCCCTTCCATCACACAGTACCCAGACTTGGACACCCCTGTTCTGGTGTTGAACTGACCAAAATTTAATCAGTTTATATACAGGAATTATATACTTACAAAAGTATTCTCCTTAGTCTTGGCTGATTTGCAGAACTTCCTGATTGCTTTTTCAATCCCTTCTTTACCTTCATCACGCTGTTTTTTTGTGATGGCCTTCTCGATTTTATTCAGGGTTTCAATACAAACTGAAAATGAAGTAAAACAACACAGTAGAATGAATAACAGTTTTTATTTTTCTTCTTCTCAGCAAAATACCAATATCAAATCCTCATGCTTGGCAGTGGATATTTGACCAGTTAATGATCTAGATGCTTTTGGCAGTTGAGCATGGGCATTTTGGGGTACTTTGATGCTGTTTTGTGACAAAACTTTGTCCGGCTCTGCATTAAAATTATCATTGTGAATTCATGTTCATGAGCTGGAATTCACATCCAGTTCAATTTCAGACTTTTGAGCAACTCCTCCTAAACCACGAATCAAAAAAAAGAAAATGACGTATCCTGCAATTAATCCATACTCACATCCTACTAACCCATTGAGACTGGTATGCAAAATTCCCAGTGTTTTTTAAGTGAATCAGCTTCACGTAAATTCAAGTTTTTGGACATTTTATTGCTTTCGTGTGGCCAATAGATCCCTGCAGGAAAAAAAATGAGTGGCGTCTGTATATGGAATTCTTTCCCACTGATAACGTCCCTTGCCTGTGGCTCCTGCTTAATAAAGTGCAGCTGGAGGATGACAAAATCTTCACTTTGTTATAACAAACCAATTTAAGTACGTTTGCCAGCGTAGGAAAGAGCTCCATAGATGGACATCACTTGACACCCTGTGCACATGAGATTGATCTGAAAAGCTCCAAATATTTTCTAAGTAAATGCTTCGATATTTTCACGGCTAAATTTAACTTTTTGGGACGTTATCACCTTTTGATGGCTTACATATATAAGCCACTGCAATTAAACAGGCAAGGGAAAATAAGCAATGTCCATATATTTGAACTCTTACCCCAATGTATACATAGAGTGACGACTATAATAAATCTTTTTGATGTTTGCAATGCATCATGGGTTTGGATGACAAACATGCAATGCATTTCATGCATAACCCTACGGGAAAAGTGTACCTGCAAAAGTTAATCTGTTTCCATTTTATTTCGTACTCTAATTTAAGCCATCCCCTTGAACACAGTGATGCATTATTGATTTGGGACAAAAATATTCACAAACTTCAAAGTTTGGCAGAACAGGAAAATTTGGAGAATCCCTTCTGACAACACCACTTTCTGCGACGGAGTGTGCTTTGACTAATATCATGAATATTAATGCCTATTATTGACCAATCAAAATCACGACTTGCAGCTCATTTATCCTACATTGACCAGTCGATTTCGAGACAAAATGTAAATAACTGAAAATTAATGTTTTAACCATTAACACTGTAACTAAAAATTAACCAACACCCCTAGGGTATAGGCCCATGTAAAATCATATTGAAACTGGCATGACTGGAGGACGAGGACTGTTAGGGCTGATGAAAGCATGCACTTCAGACTTAAAGTTTTTTTCTAAAAGGATCTGGGCCATTTATCGGATACACATGTTTGAATTATTCCTCCATGTTTGAAGTGAACACACTTTTAATAATTTCCATTTGACTTATCTGCAGATCTGATACTGTGATAGCCCCACTAGTGTGGCACGGATCACTCCTGATTTATCCTTAAGGATAAATCAGGAGTGATCCGTGCCACACTAGTATCAGGAGTGATCCGTGCCACACTAGTGGGGCTAATACTGTGATAACACTGATCATGTTGACGATGACCAAAGCCGACATCACTTAAAAAATTTACAAAGAGTAAGAAAAAAGACCACAAACGAAAACAACCAATACTATATCAACAGACAAGTCCTAGGCCTATATCTTATCACCAACCTTCACATTCGCCCTTTTTCAGTTTGGCTTCAGCTGAATGGAGAACCACAGCGCACACAACTAACGCCAGATACACAAAACTGGCCATGGTAAATGCCTGAACATTCATGTCGACAATGCAAATTCTGTTCACTCAAAATACATAAAAGCTGCTGTTTTTCCCTTCAAATACGATAATGATTTCAAAGCAACAACACACAAACAGCAGTTAAAGTGAACCAAACTGACGGTTCAAAAATGTCGCATACATAGCTTTTGAAACACTCGTTTTTTTACCAACAGAACTTCTGCTTCTATCACAACTTGTCAACACATGTGTGCACAACGTGGACTTATTTCCTAATACATTTGTCGTCTTGCCATTGGTCAGTTACCTGTGACGTAGCCGGCATTTGACATGTCGGTAGGTGGCGCTAGATCATAAAGCAAGATGGCGGCCTCCTTGGGAATTTATTTTGGAGGTTCAACCACGTGTTTGGCAATAAGCAAAGTAAGTTTTCCTGGTTAAACAGATGCAGGGCTATTATTTACTAAAGGAATATCAGACTTAAAGAATCTATTTAAGAAAACACGGCTGTGATTGATGCATTTACACTTTGCAGGGACAGTAACGTAACTCACGGTCTAGCCCCACTACGCACTAGTGTGGCACGGACTCTCACTCCCGATCCATCCTTATCGGGAGTGATCCGTGCCACACTAGTGCCAGTAGTGGGGCTACTCACGGTCCAGCATCCGGTCTTGCTGTCAATGCTGTGTTCAACTTTAAGTTTAAAACCTTCCTTCTAATTTCTATCCAACTAGGGGCCTATTCAGGCTCTGTGTAATCATTCTAATGGGCTACCACTGTACAACTCCTAATTCCTGTAATCCTAGAAATATTGGCATTTAGGGCCTAAGTGTCATTTTGCATGGAAGTGTTGACTTTTGTTAGGCCTACTTCAAGTACTTGTCATCGTTTATATAGTGAAGGCCTAAGTAGTATAAAATAAGGAGATCTCTGCTAGTCTACAAGCCTTGCTTCTTTGGGATCTCTTTCCGCATCATATCTCATACATGTATCTTATGTATTTGTCCGACTATCGTACCAGTTCCAATTCAGTTTAAGGGACATAATTGATGTACAGTGTAAAGTTTATTATTTATTCATGCCAATTCTTTTTCATCACATACGAGATGGGCATTGGAGAAGCAAAAGCGATAACAATCACTGTGGCAAAGACCTGCCACTCCACATCAAGTTGTGTATAGAGTAAATAAATTTAAATAAATATACTAATATATAAAAGTATTTGAAGCCAAAAGTTAGAACTTAAAAATATTTAAATATAAAAGAAAAGGAACAACTAGAATGAATAAAGATACTGTAAGCATTAAATATGAAATTAAATAAGTTAAATGAATAAGCAATTAATGATAATGACAATAAATAGGTTAAATACAAAATAATACATGTGGAAGAAAACACTAGGTAAGTGTACAATAAATGTAATGAAAGTCTACAGGATAATGACAAACAGGAGGCTGAAATAGTACTTAAAATGAGAAGGCGTGCTGCTCCTCATCAAGGTACATGTAGGTGTAAAGTAAATACATAAATAAGTAAATATAAGTAAGAAAATAAAAATACATTAGAACGTATGAATATTTTGATATAAAAGAAACAAAAGGAGATGACTCACTGGACATGAATAAAAGTAGAAATAAAAATGGAAAGGGATAAAAATGATGTAAGAAATTGATTGAACTAAGTGAATAAGGAGTTAGCATTAAAGACGCAATAAATCAAAAAAACATGCATAAGAGAAGAGATGTATATAAATATATACGACCAATCAGATAAAATGTAATTGACAATTGGCAGAGAGGAGGCTCAATTACATGTTATAAGCCTTACATGTACATGTAACATAAATACAAGGTTGGGATTTATGAAAAGAGAACACTGTTTCAAAGAGTGGGAAGAAACGCCGATAAAAGGCTGTAAAACAAGAGCGAGGGGAAGCATGGAAACAAGATCAATGCAGGGATTTGGTCCCAGCTTGCCGGTGCTGAAACAAAACATCATGAACATGGTGGGAATTAACAGAAACATTGTAAACGCATTGATTACATTCAACAATATTGAACAGACACTTGGAGACAGACGAGAGAACAGCATAATTACGACGACAAGATACATGTAAATCAGACCAATCCGGAGTTTCTAACCTATCAGGGTAGCTCATCATACCATGCTTCTGGCCAGGAATAAAACAAGTCGCACGTTTTTGAATTGTCAACCTGCTTTCTTGTCTGAGGGAGCCAGGCAGGATGAGAACTTTATACAGTGAAAGTTTTGCTGAAGTAGAAGAGTTGAAGGCAATGGATTTGACGAGAGCAAGTGTGTGATTTGCAGAGGAAATTACAGACTTAACATAATCCTTCCAAGATAGCTGAGTATTCAGAGTGACTCCAAGATATTTGACCGATTGTACAGCTGTCAATGGGATACCTGAAAGAAAAGAAAAAGGGAGAGATGGGTGTCGTTTAAAGGAGATGTGCATAAGTTTGGATTTACTAGCATTGAAGGGCATACCGTTAGGAACACTCCAAACACTCAGCTTATCAAGGTCCTGCTAGAGAGTAGAAACATCAAAGTGAGCATGAACTTTACGGGACAGTAGTATATCATCAGCAAATAAAATATAATCAGAATTAATATTATGAGTGATGTCGTTGACGAATGTGTTAAAAAGAAGAGGTCCAAGTAGGCTGCCCTGTGGAATGCCAGACTTCACCGCACACCACTCCGAGGTTTGTCCAACAAAAGTTAGTCTGGAGACGGCCCACTAAGAAATCCTTGATCCACCTCCAGAGAGCACCTTTTATGTTACACCCAGAAGTTAGTTTACGGAGAAGGATGTCATGAGGCATGCGATCAAATGCTTTACTCATGTCAACTTGCTCCATTAATTTAAAACCCTCCTATGCAAAGATACATTCTTGACACGGTTGTCATATCGGTCAAAATCAGTCAAATCAGAGCCATGAACAAGCTGCATAGTGCATGTGAAATCAGCAAACACATTTTGTCAATGTTACCGTCAGTCAGTGTCTGTGCGCTGTGGCAAATCAAGTGGAAGGAACTTTGTTACAGCAGAAGGAGGGTTACTGGCCTTTGGAGCAGGGGACTTATTTTGCACTGAGTTAAGTGGTCAGCCAGGTTGCAGCATTAAGGCAAAAAAAATTCTTCTGCTTCTGGCTTCCCGAAGGACCCTTATTTTTTGGTGTGACCCGAAAATTTTTATCAGCAAGTTAGAAAAATAAATGAGAAAAACAATTTAGAAAAATAAAAAAAAGAAATTTAAAAGTAAACCCTGTTGTCTTTTCTGTCCTTACAAATTACCTCTGAATAACCTTTTTATATTGAAAAATTTTATTCATATGTTTTTCAACTTACCGGTACATTTGCAAGTTTTGAAAACAAACTTCCATTATTTCACGACCTCAAAAAATCCCAATATCTTCCTTTTATATATTAAATTGAATCCTTGGTCACTATAGTTCCCAAGTCTGCATTGTAATAGGCATGACAATGGAGACCCAACTGTAACAGGTGCTACTGATGACAGAATTGAACAGTTTACTAGAAATTTTTTTCGGAAATGTCAAGACAAAAGACATGAGATTATGCTCCTTACCAATTGTTTAATTTCTACGTGTAAATTGCATTTGTTCAACCTAATACTTTGTTGGTGAAGACAATTTCAGTAACATGAAATGCACTGCTCCAAGGTAAAATGTATTTCACTCTGTTCTCTTGCATTTCTTAAATCGATGGCCCAATTGTTGCCTGTTGTGACTTGGTCCATGGGTTTTGTATCCCCTTGGTGGCAAAAAGCACCCAAGGCACAGTGAGTGATATGTTAAAATCCTACATGTACATGGACGTGTATCTGCTGGTGGAGAAATTTGATGGAAAAAAGGAAATATATGTGATGTCCTTTTTTCCTCTCTCCAATGAATAACAGGATGGAAAGACTGAAGTGATAACCAATGATTCTGGTGACAGAGTGACACCGGCTATTGTTGCATACAATGGAAATGACAAGGTAAAGATTGCACTATACATTACTTTTTTCAATGAATATTGTGATTATATCCTTCCTGGTGATTGTATCCTTCCTATCTAATGTTGTATCCTTGCTTTATTCCTTTACATACTCATTTTTTAGTCTTTTGCCAAGAATAACTGTCCTGCTGTTCTCCAGTTTTTTCCTATTTTACAAGTGGGTCATGCTATTAATTCAGGGTCCAAAAGTGTGACGGATTTGTGTCCGTTACACCTGACCTTCGTAATTTGACATGGAAATATTACTGAAATTGATTTCAAACTATTTCTGTTTGTTTGGCAGGTTACTTGCATTAATTCATTACTGTAGAAATTATAGAATGTTCTGAACTTAGAAATCATATGTGATGGGAGACATGAAGAAATTGGACTCCTAATTTATAGAATCACCCAAGTCCATTTAGTCTGTAATCTGTTCTTGTTTGGTTTCTTGATATTAAAGTGTTCATGCCTAGTATTTACAGTATTTTGATTTAATTTCATTTCTTGTATTTGCTCTGTTGAGGTGAATGGACACAGAAGTGCTCCTTTTAATGTGCAAAATATAGTATGAGAAATTAAATTGAAAGTTGTGTTTCTTTGTCACCAGGATGTTGGCTTATCAGCTAAACAGGGTAAAATACGCAACGCTGTTAATACTATTTGCCATGTCAAGCACACCCTTGGAAGAAGGTGAGTGTAATCAATGAGATCTAACGTCGGAAATCTAGTTAAAATCCTCTGACTAGATTTTGTTACAGTTTGGTAGGTATTAGGTAAGATGATCAGGATAGGGTCACATTGTGTTTAAGGCGATACACGCCACCCAACACCTCCATTCATTCAACTAAAACCAACAACAGCATTCAGTGAAACCCCCAAATGTTTCAAATTCACATTCTTTCATTATTCCTTGATAATGTTTCATTATTATTCAGTAAAATTCAACCGTGTACATATATGGAGACTGTGAAAGGTTTGTTTTTATTTTAATCTATCTATTCTCTGCTCACAGAGTTGAAGATAACATCGTTAAGCAAAAGATTCGGGATGGTCCCACTAAGATAATTGACAAGAGTGGTTACCCTCTGTATCAAGTGGACTACAAGGACAAGGTGACATACGTTACACCCACAGCAGTTGCAACACTAATCTTCAAAAAGTTAAAAGGTAAGGCTCATTGGGTTTATAATTTGTTTTGACTCTCACAGTGTGCCTATGGCTGAGGGTAAGCTTGCTTGATGAATTTGGCAGTCATCTGGAAGTTTTTTCAATGAGATTTGTCACTGATGTTAATATTCAAAGTAAAAATGTATAAATTTGATTTGGAAATGCCACTGATGCATGTGTTGTTAAATGTTGATGAAGTGACATCTTGTGGAATAATTGTTTTTGGCCCAATTTCATTCTCATACTTGTCAAGTCTGTGGATCTGATACATCCAATTCACCTGATTCATATTAATTTCAGAGATTGCATTACATCAGGGAGGGATTGGAGATGACAGAGATGTTGTACTGACAATACCGTTAGATTTCTCTGAGACACAACGCCGCTCACTGTGGTAAGGACAAGCTAGATTTAGCTCAGATACATCGTCAGTCTGCGATACAAAGAATAGGATATGGCAGGAATTCTGTCAGAGACTAACTTGAGGAGAACTTGGTTCTGCAGTTATAACATGGTTCTTGAGAAGTACATGTAGTAGTCCAATGTTGGGTTCCCCCTCTCCACCCTTCCATGCCCCTCACTCTCCCTTTCCTGTGAAGTTTGTTTCAGTTCCATCATCTTTGAATCGTGTTCTTCAAATAAAACTTAAAATACAAGGTTTGCATCCGCAGAGGTAGGAATTTATGAGTTAGCTCTGCCAAACTCATAATCTTTGGATGTAGTGAGTAAAGATGTAAACTGATCATATTGCATTTTTTAATGTTTTTTGGGTTAGGTTATTTACTCGGACGCAGATGTATGTACTCCATTATTGTGTTGTGGTGCTTCTGCAAGCGATTGCAGAGTAATTGGTGTTAGATTAGCAACAATCCATTTCCCATTTCATGTGTTTCATGTTGTCTATTCAGTGAAGCGGCTACTGATGCAGGGTTCAACATTCTACGCATCATTAGTGAGCCTAGCGCCGCAGTCCTTGCCTATGGAGTGTGTGACACAAAATCCGCAGATAAAAGGTATGGAGTCGAATTAGGTCCTCGAGTATGGATTTTGCTGATTTATGGGATTGCAGATTTTCCTAGAATCAGATGTTTTTCCTTCCTTTTCTTTTTTGATCCATTACAATTGCGTTTTGCAACTTGGAAATTTTTTTTTCTGATTTCTGAGTCACCTGCTTGAGTCTGTCTGTACATTGTTGAATGTGGACAAAGCTGGTAGTGTACCATTCCAAATGGAATAGTAAAAACCTACATGGACCCACATACCCAACTAGAAGATTTAATTATTTGCAGTTGTCACAGTCTTTCTCTAGACCATTTGGCATCACCTTATATCCCAAGTCCTTTGAACTGACGGTGAATCCTTACAGTTGTGTATATATTCCTTCTTGATCTTCTTGCAGTAACGTCCTTGTCTATCGGTTGGGTGGTACCAGCCTAACCATCACTATCCTACAAGTCAGCAACGGCATGCTACGTGTGTTGGCATCGGAGACAGATCTCTGCTGTGGAGGTGACACATTCACGTCGCTGCTAGCTAAGAGCTGTGCTTCAGATTTCAATAGGTTTGACTGCCGTTTCTTTTATAGATTTGTCTCATAGGACTCTGTCTTTGTTGGAAAATTCAAGTATGTGTAATACGCCATCAAGTAAGCGTGCACAGAATGTGCATATTTTCTGTACATGCGTGCATGTCCATCAATATATCTTTGAAATACGGTACAGCTGATGCACATCATGAAAATGTGACGTGACAAATGCCAGTGTGCCTGGCAATCTGTAGGAAGTGATGTCATTTGAGGGAGATCTGTCGAATTTCTGGTGCTTACATTTTCAGAGGTGACTTTAGATTAAAGGCATTGCTTTTTCAAGTGAACTCGCGGAATGTTAGTAGAAATGTCTTATTTTTATCCAGCAATCACAATACTCTTTGGATTGTGTCAGTAGTCAATCTTGTACCCTGTAAAAGTTTCCTTCATGTTTTTGAGTAGGTTTCATAGCAACAACTTGTGGTTTCTGTGGCAGGACACGGAATTGTAACATGTCAGACAATAAAAGAGCCATGAACAAGCTGCATGGTGCATGTGAAATCAGCAAACACATTTTGTCAACGTTACCGTCAGCCAAATGCTCCATTGATTCACTGTATGATGGCATTGACTACCACACCAACATCTCAAGGTAGGAGGGATTCATTCAGGCTGGCAATTTCCATTCAAAATGAGGCAGAGCTAGGCATGTTTATTTGCTGGGCATGTGAATGATAAAAACCCATTCAATCCATTTAAAAAAAAATTAAGCACTTGAATATCAATGCTTTGAATTAAATGCAAAGTCCAGAATTTGAGAAGAGTGTACACTGTTTAGTTCCGTGAGAAGAAGCAAGATAGCAATAAGTCTTTGTCTTATAGATAAGCAAAGGAACAATGCTGAAATTGACACCAATTAAAGTAGCAATAAAATCCCCAACTTTAGCATTAATGCTAAAGAATGACGCCGTTGCTCTGCCTAACCTTCATATATTTGGCTCTTTTATTTAACTCAACAACCCAACTACGATCTCCAGGTAGACATGGTAGGTTAGACACTGTTATACTTCTTCAGCTCCCCTTACATACTTGGTGTACATGTCCACCTTGGGCAGATTCCAAACCAAAGTTGGGGGAGGGGCCTTATTTGAAGGGGGGGCAATATTTTCTCCTGTATGCCTCCCAGCTAAATGTGGAGGGACTTTTGCTTATTTTGAGGTTGAAAGGAGATAAAATAATCCTAAGAATCTTCCTTCTCTCTTTATTGTTACAAAACCAAAACAAAACTTTTTGGCTTTGTTGGGGAGGAGGGGCAAAGCCCATTTTGACCCCCCCCCAAAAAAAATTGGGTCGGCTAATGATCCACATAGCCCAGGATGTCATAGATGTAGGGTCTGGAGGTGTTGGGTATTGTTACACCACATGAATGTGTAATAATTGTTTCAGGTTTAAAAAACTCATACTACCTGTCCGTTATTCTCTTGACAGAGTCAAGTTTGAGGCTCTCATTAACAGCCATGCTCAGCAGAGTATTGAGCTTCTCAAGAAACTTATCACAGAAGCGGATCTCAAGCCAGATCATATACACAAGGTACTCAGACACTTGGACATGCTTTAGGATATTTCCTCTGAGCTAGAGACTTTTAGAATCATGCACAGGGAACAATTCTTCTGGCAGTGAAGCAGTTTCAGTACTTGTGTAAGCTTAATATTGATTGAGCGGTCTACATTTATGTTTACATGTGATCAGATTTCCTGCTTACTTGCCCGAGGTGATCCATCCATGTGCAGAGGGAAAATGTCAAATTTTGATCATGGTGATTTTGTCTTCTCGAATAAACAATAAAGAATGCTTTTTATCCTTTTTGTGAGAGTCAGTTTCGGGAAAATTGCGTATTTACATTGATAGAGCATTTTCAAAACAAGTGGATGTGGCTTAGACTTCAGTTTCACTGGTTCCAGTCAGAGCTTGAACATGTGGTTTCAAACGCTGCTTCAAAATGACTAGAACCAGCAAAACCTAAGTCTAAGCCAAATCCACTCGTTTTGAAAACGCTCACAGACATTTCAGCCACAACCTGTGAATGTGACTTGGAAACTGTAAATCAGAAGACAATCCTAAATGGGAAAGAGTAGAATTTATCGGGCCTTAAATAATGAGGGGAGTTATGCTTGGTAGATAAACTTGTGTTAAGAATGTTATACATTGGTAATGGTGGATCATGTGACACTGAGATTAGAGTTTTTTGGGTTTGATTAACCCTCCTATGCAAAGATGCATTTTTGACACAGTTGCCCTATCAGTCAAAATCAGACAAGTGGCGTACGATATGTCTGTGTACTGCAGAGGGAGAAGTGGAAGGAAATTTTGACTGTCTGTGACTGTTACAGCAAAGGAATGGTTTATTAGACACCAATTATGAGGCTGTAAAAGTGGATCTTTACTAGATTTCTGTCATGAGTTGTTGAACAACTTGCATTCTTTTGGTATATATTAAAAATGCGCCACAGGTTTCACATTTTGTGGATGAAAAAAGGAGAATTCTTCAACAAACTTATGGTCTTGCTTCATGATCTATCTCTAGTAGATCCATGTGCATGGTAGACTGGTAGCATATTATAATGGAATCTGTTCACATCAAGGTCATGCTCCGTGTTCATCAATTGCTGAGCTTTGAATTTCCAATGATTGGTGCTTCTTTAGGTGTTGTTAGTTGGTGGATCAACACGTATACCCAAGCTACAGCAGATGATCAGAGATGTCCTTCCTAAAGCTGAGATGCTAGACACCATCAGTCCAGATGAAGTCATTGCTCTAGGGGCTGCCAAGGAGGTATGCTAATTACATTTCATATTTGAAATGCTAAATTCCTTTTTTCAAACTTACGGTTCATCCTCATTTTTTCCAAAGAGAGCATCACTTTGGTGAATTGCTCAATGTAGGTTTTTGGGATTGTTGGTGTAGATTTTCAGTTGTTAAAAATAAAACATGAATGAATGGATGGACGTCAAGATGTGTGTTATTGGCTTCATCTTTTACAGGCTGCTCTTTTAAGTACTCGAGATGACAGCATACAACTTAAAGAAGCAGACATTATGGCCAGCTGTTGTACTAAAGCTGTCGCACTCAAGGTAGAGACTACTTCTATTGGAACCGTTCTTTACGTGTTTACTTCTAAACTTCAGAGGGCAAGCATCTAAGTGATTCGTCTCCAAGACTAGATGAGAGGCTGAGATTTGGGAAATAGTGTTTTTCGAACATTCTTGAAAAACAAAGTTTATTCTAAAATTGTGCCGTCTTTACAAATCTTAATCACTGAATCAGAAAATTTTGAGAGCCAGATGTTTTGATCTTGGCATAATCTTTCTCAAAGGTAAAAGGATAAAAGCAATGAGCAGGTGTAAGATGCTGATCTCATCACATAACCCACTCCTTTTTCAACAGGTCATTGACCCCACTGAAGATGCGAACTTAGAAATTGTCATTCCGCAGTATTCATACCTGCCAATACGTCGGCAGTATGACTTCAACATTGGCAAAGAGCAGACGTCAGTTTGTGTTCAAATCTATGAGACACAAGAGGGCGCTTCAATAGAAGAATCTTCTTTACTGGCACAGGTATGGTAGATCTAATGCCGCTATGAGCTAAACCCTACCCAATATAAAATATGAGTCATTTTGTGTATTGTTCAGGTTGTATTGAATATCACGTTTCAACCTTTTGTGTAGAAAATTTCTTTGGCATTGGATATTCCAAACAAAATGGCTGGTGCAAATCTGATAATCCTAATCTTTCCAGATCTCTTAAATTTAGTACAATTTTTTTAAGTTTTTAGGAATATGGAGTCATTATGTCTGATTATTTTAATATAATATAAACCTCTGGGAGATTTTTGTTCAGGGATGAGCGATAGGATAGTAAGGATGAAGATTTGACAATTGTTCTATGAATAATGACGTTCCTCTTCCAGATTGTAATTGATGGTTTGGAGACAGATTCAGATGAGGACTTTCATGTGACATCAGTCTTCCATTACAGAAGGTAAGCTCTCAAACAAGGAGGAGACAAGTTTTCTATTTATATTAAGAGTGTGGTCTTTACAAATTACATTTTGCACAGATTAAGTAGAAACTCTTTTGAAAATGTTTGTGGATCTTTTGTAGATTGATTCTACTCACCAAACAACTTTTTCTGTGGCCATTAATCTCATGCAGAATTAATCCTTAATCTTGTAAGGTGATTACCCTCAATCCTTTTAGGTAGTAATTACAGCATCGGCAGAACAAACTGCATTCGCATCTTTTAGTTGGTATCTTTGCTTTATATTTTGACAGGGATGGCTCATTACATATAATCTGCTGTGAAGACATAACAGGAAAGACAGAAGAGATCTTGATTGGTCCAGTGGGACATGGAAGTAGCCAATCAGACACCATCTTAAATGAGCAAAGAGATGCATAAACCAATCACATTACTCCTCTGATACTGGGTGCTTTAGCAAACTGTTAAGTATTAGTCTGTAAATATTGAAGAAAGTAAACACATGGATCCTTTTATATTCTGTATCATGAATCAATACTTTTCTCACATCGTACAGCTACAACAGATGTCAGAAAACAATTGTCCTATTCTTTGACAGCCTTTGTCTGTTAATTGGTTACCTGTTTTCTTTTCTTATGGTTCATATTAAAGTGGGTACAAGTACCTGTCTTGATGCCGATTGAAAGTTGCAGTCCTGTTCGCTGTTAACAAATTATCTCTTGATCGGCCCTCTTGGAATGCATCAATTGGTTTATACCCAGTTAAATTAGTGTCATTTGATCATGGGAAAGACGTACTGAAGGCTGATTACATTATCTTCAGCAATCCAGTGATCTTTTCAGGATACAGGAATTTTATACAGTGCCATCTCTTGCATTATTTTATTAGAACCCTTCAAAATTAATCCTACAGTGGTCAGGGAGAGCTCAGTTAGTGGAGTTGAAATGTGCCTAGGAACTATCGTATACCTGTCTCCTAAAAGTAGAGATATTATATGCGGGTTTTGAATGTTGAAGTGAAAGCAGAGTATAGTTGGCATTGCTGTTATTTACAGTAAGTCCATGATGTATTGATACCGATGTGAAATTCCATCAAGTATGTAACTGACTCATGCCCTCCAGAGATATCTATTAATTTAACCTCCTGACAAGTGTATTTCTGAATCGTTTTCGCTTTTTGGCCAAAATTGTATGATATGAGACATTAAAGTAAAGTGCTGGAGCTTGAAGTTGAAAGCTGAGAGGTGTTTTTGCAAAAGGAGAGCTGGATATATTGGAACATTACGTTTTCTAAAGAATCTAACAGTGTCTATAGTGAATCACCCTGCTACGTTCCTATCTCTGCTGTGAAAGAATCACCTTTGGTACGAATGGGAAATTTAAAGTATGTTAAGTACTGCTCTGTGCTGTTATTGTAAAGTTTGTAGCTATGAAATAAACTCCTGGGTGAGTCAACTTATGTCACATTGCTGTTCACGGTTTACCCACTGCTAGTACATAGTGATAAAGGAAATCAGCTTTTATATTTTGCAGCGTCCAAATGGGTATCGTAGGTCATTACGAAGCCCTGCTGCTGTTTACCTATTCTGTGACATCCTCCGCCTTTATAATTTGATAAACATAACAGTCGTCTGTATCAGTGAGCCGAAAGAACAGAGGCATGTTTGTCTCCCTGTGACATGCGGTTACTCGTATCTACACGTATGCCTATATTCTAAATTGAATTGAGCACTTTACTAACTGACAAAATTGTAAGATGATAAGAATTCTGTTTTTAGATTTGGGACAATGGAAAACCCTCAAGAATGCATAAATTTGTCTGAAGGTCAGGTATACCTTGTGGGTTTCGTGCATGAAAACCTTCTCTTTTCCAAAAGGCGATTTAACACAAGATTACACGATGGAGTTGTTATTGTGTAGAGGAAAAAGTGCTCTAAAATCCCGTACGTTTCCGGTTCGTTTTTAAAAGCGATTTCCCGTCGTCATGGTCGGTAAGCTGTAAGAGTAAGGTCGGTCACAGATGAAAGCCTACCGGGTAAACAACTTCTTTCTTCTGAGATTTGACTGAAATACCCAAATTCTAAAGAAATGTCTTTATGAACTACGGAACTGTAAATTCCCACTGTGTGTCATGTAATTTCTTTTGATTTTCTATGGATTTGTTGAAACCAGAATGGGTAAAATTTATCGAGGGGCTCCAACTTCACTATTTATGATTCAGACGTTGAAGATTCTTGCTTTTTGCGTGTCTATTTTAAGCAGAGGACCACCAAGGTCCATCAGACGAAACCAGAGATTTGAATCTTGCCATTTGCTTTGAATATTGAAGATATGCCAAATAAAAGAGGTAGTAAATCAGAGATAGAGGAAGAACAGTCTTGGAGTTAAGGAGAGGTCAGGGGTCATCAGAAACCGTGTAAAGCCTAGACCGCCGTTAACTACACATTTTGATATTTTGTCTGTCTCCTTCCAAGATTGTTTAGCATACCTTTCTCTGATTTTCGACCCTTCCCAGCCACCAGACCGGAAAAAATACTGCATTGATATTTATTCTAAGCTGGGAAACTTTTGTTTGACTTTTTCAGTGCCATACATTTTTTCCCTCCTGAGCCAACCAAATTTGGAGAACTTAAAAAAGGACGCAAAAGCTTCAAACCTTCTGCACGTAGTCGTGGTGGACAGTCCCGCCGTGTGAAAAGCCCTGGGCAGTCAGGCAGAAAATTGTGGGTTCGCTGATGAGAGGCTTTATAGCTGGGGGATTTAGTCAGTGATCCTGGGGGCTGTGTCTTGGAAAGTTTTAGAAAGGTGGTTCACCATTATAGAACAGTTACCCTGAGGCCACGTCGGTCGGTTGCTGCTGATCCAGGGTCGGTCGATACATCAAGAGTTTTTGATGCAGATTTCAAATGATGTAACACCTCTTACGTCACTACTTGATCTCTTGACAAGTCACTCGATCCTCTGCGCTACTGACCCGCGAGATAATAAAGCGACAGGTGCCCTACGCCGTCGACGGTGCCTTATCGATTTGGAAAAGTTGTGCCTGTCATTTTTCTTCCACTCTTCGGCGATGTGAAGCTATTTATCAAACCAACCTTTGTCTGGTGTTTGTTGGTCGCTGTGCCATTCTGATCCTGTCGCGTTCATCGAAACAAATTGATTTCGGAATATGTCGGCTTTGTCGGGTCTTTGATCAGCCTAGATCATTCTTGCAGCCATATGGTCCGTCAGCCTTCAAGCTGAAACTAGGAACACAAGGGAAAGCTACTTGTTCAAGACACTTTTTACTTTTTGAGGTTTTGTTGTGACTGTTTTACGACCTGACAGTTATTAATTGTATCATCTACACCTCATGCCATCCGTCAAATCCAACTGTCGGAATTGTACGACAGTTTTCCCAAGCTTTCGTCAATGTGAACAGAGTCGCCGGAAGTGGAAGATACGACGGTTTTTACGCTACATCAATGTTGATACAAGTCTCGTTACCACCAGTTCATGTTCATAATTCAACAAAGCATAGACTTATGATTCATTAACTTCGTTTGAATAAGTATCAACGCTACACATAAAAGGCTGTCAGACCAGACGATACCGTGAACTAAAGAGTTTGCTCGGCGTAGAAGAGCTCCTATACGCGCTGATCCCCCTCTCTACGAGGACTCTCCGGATTCAACTGCTTGATCGTTACAACTTTCTTTCCACACCATGGCAACCGAAGTGTCTCAGCTAACCAAGCTCGTCTCTTTTCTTCCTGCCAACTGGTGCGGGGTTCTCTTCTCCCTCCTCTCGGTATCTTTGCTCTACCTTCTGGTCAGGTTCATCCAGCTGTTGAGATGGAAGCAAGCGTTCCGCTATGCCCTGCGTGACTTCCCAAGACATCCCAACGGCAGTTGGTTATTGGGAGACGTCCCTGAGGTAGGTGATGTTGTCAAGTTTCTTGGGCCGTGGGTGAGGAAGGGAAATATAACTATGAGGGAGCATGAGATAAACGGATACATGTACGTGTTAAGTTATGAAACAGCAGAGGAACTTTCTGTGCATTACACGGCAGGTGTATAATAGGCAATGATATCAAGCACATGGTGATGTATAAGGCACAAAGTTTAGACATCGTATGAAAACTTTGAGCTTTCTTGTGATTGTGCGAATATGCTAAAAAGCCTGGTAAAATATCAAAAGAAAGAGTGCAGATTGACATGGGCTTGACAGTTTTTTATATTGATTTAGATGAAAAGAAAGGCGAAAGAATGAAAGAACAGTGTTGATACTTTTATATTTTTGTTGTACTTTATTTTGGCCTCGGGTGAAACGGTCGATTCGATGCCGAGGTAAATAGATGCAGTGTTATAGGCCTAACTTATAAAATAAAATACAGCACTGTCGTAAATTTAAAACTTTTTCATATGGTAGTGAGAACTGACGGTTTTACTACGAACTCTAAAACAATAATAAATTAAGATACAAGCTCTTTGAAAGATGTTGTAATTTTCTGAGTTCCTCGAGACCATGTCGATCGCTCTATGTTGTATAATACATCACAGTTCTACCGGACTCTGCGTTGTATAATGTTTCTCACAGTATTTAAAGAGGACGTCCTACCGGTATTAAGTTGAATCGGGTTGAACACGTGCCTATCTAAATTTCCCTAGCTCCCCATTACACCGCGGATTTGTAGCAATTATTCTATGTAAGTCGTCAAACCGATGAGAAATTCATGCATGCCCTGACATGCTCTTTCTGGCATTGCAACCCACAACTAATAATGCAACATGTTTCAAGCACAAGAAATCCTTTCATGAACTGTAAATACAGACACCATCACAGTAGTCATATTGCAAGCATTTTCGAACAATGGCACGGTTTGGATAGTGATAAACTACGTGGCTCGCTATTCGAGATAAATCACCATGACAATAGTTACCGGGGAGCTTCTGGAGTGGCTTGGTCTTTTGTCACACACAACGACAGGAAATTTGAGCAGAAAAACCTATTGCTAAGTCATTTATGGAAACGTGAGGTTTCTAGATAGTTGATCTTTACGGGTCATTTCACGTAAACACTTGACATACAAGTCCACGGTAAAAGAAAATCATATTTAAAAAAAATTCTTTGTAAGATGAAAGGACGGGAGGTGCAGGTAAACAAAATAGACCTTTTTAAATCCATGCGTAGCCCGTTGCCATGGAAACAGTTCAGTTTGTGTTTTGGGCATTTTAGGCCGACTCAGTGCTCTGCTGGTTTTTAGCTTGTACTTCAAGGTCCACCTGACCAAAGCGCAAACATATTTCGCAAAGCCACTTATACATGTATCACTTTAAAGTATCATCCCTGCCTCTGAGAAAAAAATGATCGCATTTAGTGTCACCCTTATGCTAGTTAAACAGCTTGCATAGAAGTATGTTTGTAGAATTTGCCAAATTGATATTTTGACCCCTCGAAACGTCGATGTGATAGGAGTGTCGGAATATTTTCCTTTCGGTTGTGATTAGGGTCAGCGTTGATCTTTTCATATGTGGTGAGAAAATCTTGGACGTTTGTATCCTGCTGTGATAGTATTGCCTCAAATGTGGTAAATTTTCAGAAAACAGAAATTGAAATGTTAACCCGTAGACCACATCTGATTCCGTGGCACCCTATTCAATACTTAGTATCAATTAGAGAAGTTCGATTGAAAGTGTTCGATAACGATGCCAAATCTCACAGATTTTTCTATTTGATTGTATGTTGCTGAATGGTAAGATAAGTGACAACGAAATGGCTCTGAGAATCTTTAACTGCCGGATTTCAAGTCGGTACCAGCACCAATGGTTTTATTGTTCTATGTGGTGGTTATGATTAACGGAAAGAAAGGTTTCCAGCGTCCAACAACCGGCTTAGCACTGAGATCCCCGGTTTCGGTAAAAATTCGAATTTTTTTCCAAGAGAAAACTATTTTACCATTCCAGCAACTTGGAGTCGACATTACAGGAGGAATGATCTAATCCCGTATAAGGGTCGATTAGCTCAGTCGGTAGAGCATCGTGCTGATAACGCGAAGGTCGTGGGTTCGAACCCCATATCGACCAACCATTTTGTTAAATGTAAAAAACGTTTTTGACCGAAAGTGTAATTATCACGATTGTTTAGTTCGAACAATATTTTACTGAATTAAAAAAGTGAGACTGTGTAATTGGGTCCATGTATACACATAAAACATTTTTTGCATATCCAGCATGGACTCGACTTTGTTGAATAGCCGGTTGGCATTCGGCAAAGAATGGCAGTTTGACTGATGGTGATAAACTTTCTCCCTTAATCTACATAAAATCGAATCTGAGCACCGGATCCTAACCACTAGATCATATCGGATTTCGTTGTAAGGTCTTTGAACATGAACTATAGAACTTTTCAGCAATAATAATAGTTACATAAATTAATCATAACATTTTAAAATCACATTTCCCATACTGGGAATCAAACCTTAGAAGTCATTATTCTTGGTAATTGTTTAAACAAAATTCACAAAATGAATTTGCAAAGGGGGTGGAACGGTTAAAATTTCATATGCATTGTTGGTCCTTCCGACGGTGATCCAATGGCTCTCTAAGTGATCACATGTACTCTAATAAAAATTTGTCTTTGGTAAAAATGATTGAAAATTGAATGGTTTCTAGAAGCCTGTAATTGACGGATTTCAATTAAATTGCACAGCCAAGGAGGAAAAATGGAGGAAGGTTTTCAGTGCCCAACAACAGCAGTGGGACCTCGGCTTCGAGGTAAACTTGATATTTTGTTTCTAAAAAAAAGCTGTCTCCAACTCTATCCACGTCTACTGGCTGAAGAACGTAGTCTCTTCAAAATTAGCAGTTATAGCAAGGAGGTTGGTAAAGCTTAGTTGTCAAATCGTGCTGATCACGCGAAATGCGTGGTTTCAAATCCTACGTTGACAAGCTTTTACTTTTTGGAATATCTGGAAATGTTTCAGATGAAATTAAAATTTACTGCATGATTCTGTCACCTAAATGAAAATTGTCCAAAACTCATCGTATGTATTACTTCATACAAATTAAAAGGAAAAGGACTA